TTTTGCTTACATTATCGTTCGTTTTTGTTTTCGGCCAAGTCCACAAATCGTTCGCTCTTCATCTCGTCCGAATTTGCCAGCCGTATCTTTCCAGTCGCAAATTGCTTATAAAATTGCCATTTTGGCTCACTCAGAGCACTGATTTTTATTTAATTTTGCCAGCAGTGGCCAGCTGGCCAGTATTAAGCCAGGAACTAGTAGAAATAGAGCACATTACACGTACGGGGACATAACTGGACTGGACAGGACTGGAGGAACTGCTTTGCATAGGCAAAGTGGGGCCAGGGCTCCCAGGCTCCTGGCCAAGAACTCGCATATAAAGTGGGCCCCAACTCAAATGTTGTTTACTGACGTTGCAAATCCTCAAAATGCCTCTGGCCGGGCGGCCAAAGTTTTGTTGTTTATCAACTGGCAAAAGGTAGTTGAAAGTTTCTAGTTCCCAGCCAGCTATACATTTTTTCGTCCAAAATCGAGAATAATGATCCCATTGGTCATTCCACATACGTGTCAGTGGCTGTGTGTGTGTCGAGTGTTTTCTGTTCTGTGATACACTATGGAGACTATATGATTTGTATGCAAAGTGCCGGGCCACTGTCTGGCATGGCTCGATTTCAGTGGCTCCGAGGGGTCAGAGCCAGCCAGTGGTGGTAGTGTGTGTTTGTGCTTGCCAGCTCGTAGTTCATATTGATAAGTTCTGCCTGCCACAGATTTGATTTGACATACGGGTCAAAGTTTCCCAAACGCAGATGTGCTCTTCGATTCTGCACAAATAGTTGCAAAAAGCATTAGCCTCGCATGCGAATGACTTTATTTGATTTCCTGTGCTATCTTACGAGGTGCATTCAACTGCGAGTGTCATGCTGCAAATGCAATTTGCAGTCTCTCCATGCCTCCTGCCGTCTGTCCACACATCCTTGTTTTCCTATAGGTGGCTATGGCAGCGACGAGAGCAGAGGTCCTCGTCCACCTGGACCAAACAAATTCGATAGCCTTGCCACCGCATAATAAGCGTAAACGTTGGCTAACAAGATTCAGCCGGCTACGCTATTGCGCCCAAGAGGCAAACATGCAATGGCCATCAACGAGGTCCAGTTGCTCCACCATCCACCCCGTCCACTGCCACTGCCACCCCCCTTTCTGGCCAACAAATGAGTGCGCCCGAACGGTGGCCAGCGAATGTCGCGCGCTTAATGCAACTTTGTTGCTGATTCTGATGTCTGTCCGGCTGCCTCTTTCCCTTCCAGAGGCAGCAACGGCAATGGCAACGGCAACGGCAACAGCAACATCAGCAGCAGCGATTGAAAAATCCCACTATGGCGTTTTTAATTGGATTTTAAAATACTTGTCCCATGCAGCAGCGGCAGTCAGGCCACATCAGGCATCACAGCCTGGCAGCCTGGCAGTCTGGCAGCCTGGCGGGAGGGAGGCAGAAGGATACAGGACCCTGGCCGGGCAATAACATGAGCCTGCCAGCCGCTCCAGAGCCCTGCCAGCTAACGACAAGGCCAACATATCAACCAAAGACGGTTTTGGGGACTTGGTGATTGGGGACGTCGGGGATTCGGGATTTCAGGGCCTCAACACGCTCGTTATCCTTGTTTCCTGCTGTACCGTTCCCGGCCCGGCTGTGCACAATTCGGTTACGTGTTTGACCGGCGGCGATTTTTCATGGCAGGGCATTTTTTCGGGGTGTGGCGCAATCGGGGCTCCCACACATTAATGGCATTGCAAATTTGTATTGCAAATGTGCAAGTTGTGGCCAACCAGGAATTCGAAGGTGATCCTCCCGGCCAGTTTCCTCCCTGTAGCTCTTCAAAAATTTAATCGCAGGTGGCTCATGATTCGCTGACATTTTCGGGGCGGGGACAGATGACCCACTCCCGCGAAGGTTCAAGGTATCTTAGACACCATTGCAGCTCTCATTTTGCATCAGCATTAGCATATTTGATTAAAAAGTGTCATTAGTCTGCCTACGCCTCCTCGCAGCTGGCAGGTCCTGCAGCAGGCAGCGCCATTTCACGCTTCGCCGGAAGTTGCTCAAGACTTGCTGCAGAACTTGGTGCACTTGCTCACATTTTAATTTCAACTAATTGCCGGGAATGAGGGATCACTCCGCCCCCCGGTCCTGCGCCGGTAAGTAATTAAGACACTGCACTTTCCTGGGAGTGCCGCTGCGAAGTCCTGCATCCTGTCCTGCTCCGCTAATTATTAAAAGAGTTGTCCATTACCTTGACTTGATTTGTATGTAAATTGAATTTGGCTCGTCCACTCGGACTTCAAAGCAAAGCCGGCCCTGAGCCGGCACTCGGACTCCATTATCAGTCCGAGGCACCTCGTTCGCTGACTAATTTGCTTTTAATTAATATAATGACTACAAGTTTCTTAATGCTGCCCAGAAATGACGAACGAGCGACGTAATCAAGTAGATCCAAGAAGTTCTAGTCTAGTTCCAGCTCCAGCTGAAGTGTTTGCTCAAGTCGCTAATGAATGTACAATTCCGAGATTGGGGCTAAGGACATCGAAACTTTCCATAAATATCAAATGGCATGGTGATGGAGATGGAGATGGGCATGGGGATGGGAATGGGGGTTTACGCAATTGTGGGCGGCTAAGTGAATAGAAGGAAAACATTTATACACTTTTTTGGGAATCATCCCTTCCTGCCCGCCACTCGAGAGGTGTTCGAATATTTTAAGTCCTGGTCCTGGTCCCGCTCCAGTCCTCCCCGAGCGCAAACTTTGCCTTTCATAAAAGTTATGGGAAGAAAAATAAATTTCACATAAACAGAACGCAGGACGAAGAAAAGTCCTCCCGAAATGCAGAGTACAAAAAATAAACACCGAAAAAGGACAAAAGAAAAAGGACACAACACGGAATGGATAAACGGAAAAAATGGGAAAATGGAAAACAAAATCAACTTTGATTTAAGTTTACAGAAATGCTTAGCAATTGCTTCGCTTTTGAACTTTTTGTGTGTTTTCCCGAGCTTTTCCCGTTGTTCCCTTTCATTTTTTAGCCGTGTGGATTAACTGGCGATGGAATATTTTATTTTTTATTGCTTAGCGGCGCTGATTTGCGCTCTTGTGTCCCTCTCTGCCACCTCCCTCGCTCTTGCCCTCGCAGGTCCTGTCCGCCGGCCTGTCCGGGACAGGGAAATTCTGGATTTTGTTGTCACTTCAACACACAAAACATAAAATACACAAGAGCCGCGTCGAGTCGGGCCGCGCCGAGCCAAACAACAATCCACTTGAATTTTTTACACTTTATTTTTTGTACATTTTCAGCAAGAACAATAAAAAGGAATTTGCTCCCCGTCCCGGTCCCTGTCCCTGTCCCTGGCCCCGATGTCCTGCCCCTCTCCACTGGCGCTCTTCGCACTGTTTGCACGCGAAATTTGTGCTTGTCTGCCTTTCGGCATGTCAGCTCGCATGTTGCATGGTTTTAGGCGGGATTTGTTTTGTTGCGACACCGCCCACCCCCGCCCCCAGCCACTGTCCTGCTAGTGTCCTGAAGGAGCGTCAACTACGAAAGCAACAACTGCGACCGGAGCGCAACAGCCCAAGCCGCACTGTCGACACCCAGCCTGTCCTAAACCCTCTGCCGGCTGGGGAATTAGACAATTGGAAGGGTTTTTGAGGTTTTTTTTCGGCTAGGTCCTCTCTGAAGGATCTTAATTTTCAGCATTGTTGATGTTGCCGAATTAAGAGCAGAAACAGCACAACAGAAAGGGGCTCTACCAAAAGTTATGAAACAAATATTGTGGCCATTTTCCTGTTTCAGATTGTTAATTAAACAAGTCTTTAAAAAAAAGAAATTATTCTGGGAAAAAAAGGATACTGCTTTTAAAAAATTAATTGAAATTTAATCTAGTCCTTTGAATTCACATATTTATAGTTTTTTAGAGAACAATTATGTGAAACTGCATTGAATTCCTGAATCACGATGACATTTTTTGGGAAAAAATAGAATTCTTTTTGGGAATATTTTAGTAGAGAACATATACTTGACTATGAGGATATGAGACCCTCGACTATGGCCATTCCATTGCCGTTTTTTTCACTTACCATTGTAAAACTGAGCTCAATGGTCTCACCGCGTTTTTACCGTTTCGAGCACCGGCTTACACGCCGTATAAGCCGCATCCATGCCTCCGACTGCAGCCTCTGGAAAGTCCTTAATTTTTGTGGTTATTACTGTATATTAAATTAGCATAAATGATTTTTAATAATTATGCCATTACAGCCGAGTCCTACTCGAAGCTCTCCAGCCGCCCTTCCTGCCACACATAGCAGCTGCCACACAAATTACAATATAATGAGCGAGCAGGTGCAGCGGGAATTTTTTTGTGTATTTTTTGGTTCAGTTTGAATTTTACATTCCGCCCAGTGCCCGCCAGAGCCGACTATTATTTTTATATAATGGGCGTTGATGGGCTTTGATTCCGAGCCGTTGCCGCGGTGGGCGGCCCTGGATGCCAATGTTAATTTTCATGCAAGAGTGCGCGGAGAGATTCTTGCGAAAATGTTTTTAAATTGCACTTAAAATTTTATTTAAATGCCCCACACACATGTGGATGCCACGCAGCTGCAGCCGCACCTGACCGACCACTCCCGCCCCCCCCCTGCCCCGCCCAAACAATGCTCACTGATGCTTAAATGAATATTCACAATTCGGTATTCGGACATGAAGAACCTTCTAGTGTTTATGGAATGTAGTTAATTTGCAAACATTTTTGCTCTGGAATCTGCACTGTTTTTGGGGATTTCATAAAACTTTAACTCATCAACGGAACAAGTGCGCCACGCAGTAATTGATTTAAAGTGGAGAGTTATTTCTTCTCGAATAAATGCAAATTTTAAGTTTTTAAGTGGGCCTTAATTGAATTTCCGGCAAAAATGTCTGAAATCTGAAAAATTAATCAGATATAGTATGAATATGTGGCAACGTTCTCCAGCTATGGGTCTTCAAAGCACTAATCAAGTTGATTTATTTCGTTGCAGGCTGTGCTTTCGTCAAATTCGGTTCGCAGCAGGAAGCCCAGTCGGCCATAACCAATCTACACGGAAGCCAAACTATGCCGGTAAGTCAGAGAGCGATCTTGGGATAAACGACTGCTTTTTCCCACGCCGCTTTGTAAAATTAGAAAATTGTATTTCTCGTCCGCCCACCCCATCTCCGGGGCGGGCCAGGAGATGGCCATTATGCTCCGGTCCCGGTCTGTGCTTCTTCGAGCACATGATGGCACTTGTGTGCGAATAATACGAAAATAATACGAAAATAATGAAATTTCAAACCTGAAGTATGCGTCCTCAAGATGTTGTTGTTCTCCTCGGTGGTGCGGTGGTGCTGTGGTGCTGTTGCCGATTCTCATCGTTGAAAAGTACTTAGCAAACTTCATTTAAGCTACAAGTGCCCCTGCCCAGGCTTCCCGGGCACGATTTATAAATAAAATTAGAATTAAATTAAATGCCGAGCGGAAAGCGTATTATTATTTTCTTTGACATGCCGCACTTCAATGGTAAATCAAGAAGCCCTAATTTTCTAAAAACGAAAACACAAAACTCGGAAAAATAAATAAAAATGGCTTTTGATATGCGAGACGTAGACAGGCAGGTTTCCCGCCAAGTGACTTCATTATGCCCAAATTTTGTAAGGCATCTCCATACATAGCCGAGACTGCGACTGGAGACTGCGACTGGAGACTGCGGCTGAAGAGCTTGAGCTGGTGCTGGAGCTGGAAGTTGGGAGCTGGGAGCTGGGAAGCTGTATAAAAGAGCCGTTAGCTGTATGACAACGTTGCCCGGGAATTATTTCGTTTTTCTCCTTTTGTTGCTTGCCGACTGCTGGCTGCTTGCGAAAAATAAATGAAATTTGCATGACACTTGAGTTATTTTGCACGTAAATTGCTTCTTTTGACAAACAAACAGGCAAATACACAAGCCAACTGGTGGGCCACAACGGGCCAACGGGGGCTACGGGGCTAGGGGGCTGAGGGGGAGTGGCTCAAATGCTGCCATTGTTGTATTTTCGGTGTTTACAGGCAGAAGCCAGTGCAGTCCCAAGTCTCCGTCTCCACTCCTTCGGCAAACGAATTTTACATTTCGGGCTTGTGTTTGCGGGCTGCTGGTTCCGTCTTCCTCCCACGCGGTCCTCCTCCCCACCACCCCAGGACGACAACTCGTTGGCGCGCTTAGATTCAAATTCAAATACTGTTGATGAAATTTGTTGCTTAATTTACAATTTAGATGCGTTTTTAAGCAAACGCCACGGCTCCCCAGAAACCATGTGTTTACTTAGGCAGAGCCCGACGAAGGGGAATCCGGATGGGTTCCGGCTCCGGAGTGCAGAAGTGCGAAGAGCTCGGAAGCCGAGGGACAACTGTCCCGCAATTACAGGGCTACCCGCGTGGGAGACCAAATCGATGGAGTTAGCCGCTGGGCAAGAGTCCTAAGCTCCATGACGGACCTCCATCCCACTGACTAACAGCAAATATATACGTATGTCCTTGTACACCCCGGCCCTGACGAAATCGTCAAAAATATGGCCGCAGGTGGAGCGCAAGTGGAAACGATTCGGCGCCCAATTCGAGTCAAAGGCCACGGCAAACAGTGTGGCTTAAATCAATTCGGAGCCCGGGCCAACCGGGTCACATTTTATAGCTGATTGCCGTCGATACGCAGCAAATCAAAGTACAGCCCGGGGCTCTATTGAAGCCCCTCGACCGACTGGGATAGGAATCAAGATGAACTTTGTACAGTTCCTTGAATGTTTCCATATTTTTGGCTCGCTTTGAATTTAAAATCTGGGCTCAAACAGCTCTTCCGGTGAGCGTGTCATTAGAAGAAGCTTCGCTCGAGGCCTACAACCAACTGCACTTAACTTGTCCCTCTGCCTCCACTAACCATTACACCCCTGGCCGGAAGCAAGACATGGCCAGCAAAAAGAGCTCCTAACAACGACAGCTGCAATTTTTCACCTGGTCAGTTTTAAAGATGAGCAGCAACGTTCCGGGCCCTGAAAGAAGACGCTGGCAAATTGCCGTCCTGAAAAAAGGGCTTGGGTCTGGAACTCCAGAGAAGGGCAAGAGGGCCTCAAAGCAAGTTGTTAATTTTTTTGTGCTGTTGAGAGTAAGAGCGCGTAATTTTTTTATACCTGGCTGCATTAAGCATTTTAATGTCAGTTGCCGACCCCGACCCCGCCGCGCACACATCCTCGCCCGGACGCATTCCCGGCTGTAATTGCAATTTGGCATTACGACTGCGCTCAGATCTTGGAGTTTTCAGTGGGGCACTGGGGAGGGGGGAGCGGTAATTAGCGCAAAACGACGCCAGCTGCTGGGTTATATAAAAAATTGTTGCTCCCACGCCAAAGTGCGCTTCGCTGCCCTGCTCTCCACCGCCAGGCGAATACATTAATTACATGTCCAAGTGCAAGTGCAACGACCAGGACGGGTGTGGCAGGTGGGCTACCATTTGGGGCTCCGAATTGATTGCCTACCTGCAGGCGTCAAAGTTGCGCCAGACAAAACCGCAAGTTAATTTTAAGCTTAACAAAGTCCACTTTCAACACCCCTGCTTCCGACCCCGGGTGGCTTTCATGTTGATGTACCACAGAAAGCTTTTAAAAAACGAGATGCAGACGAAGAACATTTTTTGATTACGCCAAACCTTAAGCAGCTTATGAACGCCCCCGTCCCCGTTCCCAATTCTCAGTCCAGGTCCTGCTCCCGGCCCCGGTCCTGGAATGGACGAAGCGCTCATTAAAAAGGAATTTGCAGGGCAAAATGGATGGTCAGACCCTGGCGGGCAGCAAGATGTCCGCTTCCCACCGCATCCATCCGGCCCGGCCTCACACGTTCGCTCCGTTGTTAATCTCTTGGCACTCAACATGTTATAAGTCGCTTTTAGTGCGGTTTGCAAACGTTTTCTAAATGCAAAAAAAAAAAAAAAAATGAAACAGAAATAAAGCGAAAAAACACCCTCCATGCTGGGGAGGCAGAGCGAAAAAAGTTTACAGTTTACAGTTGTAAACAATAATTTCGTATTCACTCAACACCCACATACACACACGCCGGCATTTGCATAAGCCGCTGATGCGATTTTTTGCGTCCGTGCCGTGGGCGCGGCTTAGAAGGGGGCGTGCCGCAAACACTTGTTAATGAAAGCGCGCGCATGCATTAAAGCTCTCTTTGGCTCCAAATGCTTTTGATTGCCGAAGCGTGAAAAGCCCCGCCACATGCACCGAAACATGTCCGAGCGAAAGTTAAAGAAATACAATTTCAAATGGAAACAGTCACAATAAGTTTCGTTATAAGGTGACAACAAGTACAGTCTACCATCCTGTCAGCTCAGGGCTCTGAAGGAATTTGTCAATTAGCATTTCGCTGTTCCATTTGATCAGCTGAGCGGACACACAATATGCTTGCAAGGACATTTGTCACACGTTACCAAGGTGGAACATGTGTCCCGAAACAGGAGAATGAGTCATCATCAAAGCCGTGGCTCGATGCTGGTTCAGCTGGATCTGCGGACATTTAAATTTCAAATTAATTTCTCGCCACTCCAAGTAGAAACATAAAGATTGAGGGAAATAAGAAATCTGCAAGCTGACAAGCGGAGAGTGACAGATAAATACGAGTGGAGTCCGGACTGTCCCAAAAAATGATATGCGGAGTGAGGAGCCGCCTCCTCGCTTCCATCCCATCAAACCTGTTTTCACAGTCATTTCGCAGAACGGGCCCCGTAAAATATGCAAAAAAAAAACGAGAAAAAAAGCAAACAAAAAAATACATTTTTGCGCGCAGTTCGCTCAATTTTTCTCCTTCTACTTTGTCGGCTTCTTGGTCGTTTTGTTTGCGTTGCTCATGGCTGGATTGACGCAACATATGCCAGTGCCTGTGCCAGTGCCAGTGCCAGTGCCGGCTCCGAATGTTGTGCGATTGCTGCTCTTGCTCCTTCTGTTTTTGTTGTTTCTCCCCGCCTTTGTTTTCTTTCCTTCTGCTGTGCTCGCCGAGTGTGTGTGTGCCTCGCATCAATTATGCTTTTATTTATACAACAATTTTCGTTCTGCTGGCCGTTCAATTTTCGTTAGCAGTCGACGCGCAAAACGAACAAGCCGAACGAACGAGCGCCGCCTTAATGCGACTTGACAAAAATGGCGCCCAACGTGCGGCACATGCTGCGGCTGCTGTACCGTTATTCCAAGTTGGCGCGGCCCAGTGACAGCAGTGGGGAGTTTTCTTATTTGCGCTTGAGCGACGCCAACACACACTCGCACACTCGGATGGCACCTTGGCGTGTCAAGCTGACGACCAGGAGAGCTGGCCCGGCTTTCTATTTTAATTCACACGCCATTGTTGCTCAGCGCCTAAAAGAAGACGAGGCGAAGTTGAATTTCTAATGTGCAGCAGCTGCTAACAATAAAAGTGTTGGGGGACTAACGGGCGATTCGGCGGTGGGAGGCACTGTGCCAGGTGCGCCTTGCGGGAGGAGAGCTCTGATTGTGTTTGGGTTTCTTGTTCTTGTTGCCAGTCTCTTGGTGGGCGGATGCGTGTATTGGAGCTACGTGTGCATTGTGTTCTTCCTTCCAAAGTATACTTATGTGTTCGTTAAAGCAATTTTTAAATCACTGTCGCTGTTTGTGCGAAAATGGTCGAATAACAGGCGCCACCACCTGAAACATGGTAAGTAATTGGGTGGGAAGAGTCGTTTTTATGTTAACCTTAGTTGGATATTAAAGGAGAATTTTGTGGAATGTAGCGAAACACATATCTTATTATGATAACCTTAGTCAGGCTTGAAATCTCATCCTTAAATTCGTGTAAGAGTGTTTCTGGGAATACATTTTGAAAAATGTTTAAATTGAATTCCATAGTATCTCCATATATGTACATACCTAAAGAGGAGGGTGAGATGGGGTGAAAAAGCCTCTAAATCAAGCTTGATGCTTAGCATATTAGACACATGCGCAAGACGGCCTGTCCCTTTCGCTTCCAATACCATCTTCATATTGATTTGCAGCCAATCTGATATCCACTCGCCCAGCCGCTAAATTTACCCTCTCAGCTTTCAGGCTCCATCA